AGCAAAAGAGCAGAGAGAAAGGAAGGGACAGAGAGAAACAGAAGAAACGGCTGAGAGCTGAAGAGGGCTACGAGATCTGGGCCGTCCTAGAGGGAGTCCCGGCCTACCCAATTGGCTACGCAAGTGTAACGGCAACTTTTACAATGTCAGGATATACACGCCCTCGCAACCAGCTTAGGACGTACCTTCTCTTACACCTGCACTCGGCATAGTCTTTGCGGCCAAGTACGCTTGGGCTCGCGGAGTGTCGTGGTGTGTCAACCGTGGCTGAGCTGCTCGTACGCTCCGAGCCGCTGCCCCGAAGCTTCTTCCTTGCTCGCCAACCCCCTGTCCGTCCTCTTGGCGCGATTTTTTCACCGAGCCCTCGACACTGCCGGTCAAGGACAAGTGGCATCCGAGCCGATGATCGGGACCGAAAGCTTACCCGCCTCCTCCGAGCCTCCGAGCTCCGATGATCGGAACAAATTGGCCCGATCGTTCGAGAAACGAGTACGTCGATGTGGCGTTCGTATTATCGATATGACGCGGCGAGTTTGTACATTGTTGCGTTCCAGCGTACGTGTTTTAGACAGTTGTCGAGTTTACGCAATCCTTTGTTTGGAAACGCTCTTTTCCCGTCAATTCTCGCTCAAAGGAAATTCAGAAGAGCTTCAATTTCAATTTCGCGACTGATGTTTCTGGTTAAAGTACTCACTTGGTCTGTGATTGACAGAACTAACGTACCGAGGAACGATTTTTATCGTAATGTTGCAGACACAGTACAATTTCTTCGACTTTCGTAAGATCGTGCAATCTAGGGACGAAAAATTTCGCCAAAGGTACGAAACGATTTTTGCGATCACAGATTATGATTATGAGGCAGTAATAGTTGGATAGGTAATTCTCGTCTGTTCTTTAAAATGAATCAACTTCGAAATTCCGTTCGCCGATGAACATGTAAACTACTCTCGTATTTCTCGATATTTACTGCGATCCAACCAAAATCAGCTCGCGACCCACACTTTGGAAATCTGCGGTTCAATCGATTATTTTAGCTCGCCGGTCCTTCTTTATGCATTCGAATTACAATATCTTATAAATTAAAATATTTATGCGCACTGCCGATTGCGTTTATTGATATTACAAATTGAATAGCTTCCGCTGCTTTTGTTTTCTAGTTATATCGTCGTGAAATTATATCGGATTATTCCGTGTGTGAAATGGCTGATTACAAAGACACGTAGAAATCATTTAGAATTTAGTGATTGAAAATGTCGTTAAATAATACTTTAATTTGTAGACTGCGAATTTTTACGCATTTCTGAGAGGCTTGAAATCGCCGGGAAAAATCTGTAGAATTAAATAAATTTAATTATTAATTTCTAGTATTCTAATGAAGTTCACAAAAATTTTAATTTGAGAAGGTAGTCTGCTTATTGAACACAGTCAATCATCGATATTTTATTGATTGTATTATTCTAAAGAACAAAACAGATTCGTGTATCAAATTCGAGTGTATTCTTTCTAAAACTTCAAGCTTGAATCTAACACAGCAAATATTATTAACACGTAATATTAACATAGTTTTGTAAGAAAGTGCATTAAGTGAAAAAACATGTCGCTGACGTACGAATAATTTAAATTGAGAAATACCGAACGTCAAAAGTGAATTGAAAAAATTATGCGCAGTACACGATAACTAAAATTAATATAGTAGATGTGTAACAACTTAGAAGTTCTTCAAACTTTAAACAATAATAATCACAATTTTTAGTAGTATTAATAATACTTCCAAGAATTTTACAAAGTAAAAAATTGGGCCATTAAATAGAATAGAACTATACAATACATTATATAGTATAAATTATGTGTTGCTGTACATAAATCTGCATGGTTAGTCGTGAAAGAATGCAGTTAAAAAATTCTACGCTAATAAATTTCGGGAAACTTCATACTGGGGTTTATTATATGCAACCGCGTTTTCTCACGGTCGCTAAATATAGCGATGAAGAGAGCAACCTCGGTTATCGGGCAATGTTTGAAACGCAAAGGAGATCGGGGCAAAAATAAGTGTAACTTTTTTATTTTTTTATAATTACAAAATAAAGCAGTATTTTAGCAAAACAACTAACTCACGTATGTTAGAAACAAAAATATCTATGGAAAAAAAAATTTTATTATTACCTTTGATTTGAAATTAAAAATTAATTCGTGAGCAAATGTGAGCCATTTTATACAATTTTCACACGTGAATGAGCCAATTTTTCGATTCACGTCTAGATCAGAGTTGAGCGAAATATAATCAATCAATAGTTAATAATCAGTAATGGGTATTGATAAGTAATCAAAATTGTGAAATATTTGCAAAACATTGGTCTAATCACGTACAGAAGTACCTATTTTAAAATAGATTTTGGAATTCACATTGTAATACCATTAAACAGTTACTGGAATTGAAATAACTCACAATAGTGTACAATTTTCAATGTACAAATCTCTATGTACAACACAGTATCCACTGAAAGAATCACCAAGTTTTACAGATACTATTCATGAGTACCGATTCGTCTCAGAAACGATCGAGTTACAATGATTCTGAGTGCATATATTTCGATAGTCGATCACAAACGCATTGTTGATCACGTTATCGAGCAAAACGTAAATTAATCGAACGATCCAGAACTGACGCGATTTCCTGATTGTCAATTTACGTTGACAATGATTAACTGATTGCCAACTATTTTCGATAATCGGCTGCGGAAACGATCGTCGCGCGGATTCGAGCTCCCATAAAATCGGTACCGATTCGCCGCGTCTCTATTCGCAAAAAAAAAAAAAAAAAA